ATAGCTCGTTAAAGTCAATGGTGCTACAACTGAAATAGAAACTTCTGTGAATCAGAAAAGTTTTGCTTATTTTGATAAAGGGCTATATGCCCTTTATTCTTGTTAGGAATGCTCTGCTCAACCTGCTCTTGTTTTGGATTATGGAAAAATTCTGTTTTTTGTTTTTTTTTTTTAGTAGGCTCCTGGCAGAAATACAGACATTTCCATACTTCAGGGGGTTGCTAAGCATGATAAATCACCACTGACAAAGATATAGCTCAGCTAAAAAGCTTTTCTTTGTAGGACTGCTTATTCTTAGTACTTTAAAGGAGAGTTTTCTGGTGAGTGGATGGGAAGGGTCAAGACTCACCAATTATTCTCAACATGGGAAATGATGAAACTGGCACAGTGGTTTCTACAGTTCTGACACTATAATGTCATAAAACAGATCTGCTTTTACTTCCTAAACTAGAATTTGATTGTGGATTTGTTTTTAAATTAGTTATCTAATCTGTGGGCTGGACTAAAGATGTATCTTTTCATGAGAACTTTTTATTTTTCCCATAGCTGTGAAATAAAAAATGACAGCTTATTTGTTTTAAAATGAATAAAAATACTGTTAAGTTCTTGACCTTTCTAAGGAGAAGTAACTGTGAAAACATCCTTTATCTTCGTGCTGCCTTTCATGCTTATAATGATTGTTTTTGAAAGTTTTCATTTATAGCAAATCAGAGTATACTTGCTTAGACTTAACTTGACAAATGATGGGAAATTGCATATATTTTCTCCAGACCTTATTATAATGTAAGCTCTCAAAGACTTCAGTGGAAGATTTAAATCATAAGCTTTTAGACTCTCTTTTTTCATCACAAATGGCTAGGTTTGCAGATGCAGTTAAGGCTTTACAGGAGCAGCTGAAATCAGATTTACCCATGCTACAGTGCGTATTGGCATTGGAAGTAGACCACCAACATCTTTTTAACAGGAACACTGGGAACAAAATAGATTTCAGGCCAACATTTGACTTTGAAAAGAGGAAAGAGATCATTATTTATTGTAGGCTGTAGCTTGGTTTTGAAAACATTTCTTTTATAGCCAGTTTTAGTTAATGCAGATTGCTGAAGAAAGAAAATATCTCCCTCACAAAGGAACACATGGGAAATAATAAGCTTATTAATAGAATGCGTGAAACCTGCTCTCCTTTTCATGAAAGAAGAGCCTATACTATGCTGAATAAAACTTTTTCCTTTGCATGCTGATGTATTATACACACATTGGTGTTACTGCTTCATTAGGAAACCTAGCATTTGAATCTACGTTCTGGCAGCAGAACCCCTTTCGTTTACCAAGGGAAGACATTGGTCTTAGGAGTAAAAGAGCGAGCAGACTTTTTTTGTGAGAAATAAATAGAGAATCTTAAAAGATAAAAGTTTGCTCAAGTTGGAGTCATTTTTCATGAGTGTTTTACTGTCAACCTCTTTTTTTGTATGAACTTTGTATGTTACAAAGTAACAAGGACTCGAGGACTTTGAATTTCCAGTTTCACTGTAGTTGACCTTAGTATAAATCAAAATCCACCATATTTATGTAAGAAAATATCTTCTTTTCTTTCCTGAAGTGTAGCCACTTGACATATATTTATAATTAAGAGTTCCTAAATATTTTTCATTGATATCAGACATGTAGAATCCAACATTTATGGAGATCATTTCTGAAAAATGTTACTTACAAACACTGATGTTCATTTTTTCCGTTTGTTGCAGTCATAATACTGTAGTCCGTACTCTGATTTCTCTGGTGTGTGTAAATCAGGAGTAACTCGCTAAAAGGAATTGCATTATACTCATTCTACACCACTGGCGTGTCTGTGTAGAGGTTGGTGAATGCTATTAAGAAAAAAAGATGCGTTTTGTTCAGTGACCAAACGAAATTAAAAAAAAAAATCTGAAAACATTCTGAGAAGGGAGAAATGGAGAAATTCTTGATTTTTTTTTTCTCTTAGAAAGAAATTTTGAGAAATGCTTTTGGATTGAGGAAAAAAAAAAGTGCACTGTTTCCTTTGATCCAAAGAAAACCTTTTCCCCAAAAGTCCAAGGATTAAAGCATTCGCCTAGGCTATTAGGATGAAGTTCACTTCCCAAGTAAACCGACATCTTCCACTCACTTTCAAGAAAACATTTTAATGGTCATATGAAAGGCTGTTTTGGTGTGGACTGCCTTCAGTTTCTGCTTCTATAGTCAAGCTGCAGGTGTTTCAAGTAGAGGAAGACCTCATAGCTAGGTTTTGGAGCAGAATCTGATACTCAGGTAACTCTTTTCTCAGGCGTGGACCTTAGCCTGCAGGTTGCCGCTCAAGTTGGGGCTCTTGAAGTGAGCTCTGAGATCCACTGAATGCAGAATGGTTTTATTTACACAAATACAACTTACTTTGCCTGTATTTTTTTCAAACTTTTGTTTAAGAAGCTTTTTGAAAAGTACACAGATCTCTTACAAATATGTTCAATTGGCTGTGTTCTCAGGCTGAATGCCATCTCACCCCAAACTGGATTTACGCTGTAGGCAGATGATGCATATGTTGTGCTACCTGACTCTGCAAACAGGTCTTCCTCCACTTCTTGCTGCCTTGTATATGTAGAACAATAAGCACTACTTTGCAAATGGCCTCCTTACCATTAAATTTCAGTCTGTCACCCTTATATTTTCCCAGTCCGTTTCCCAGTTACTCCTTATGTTGGTATAATTAATGTATTATGATTAATGTGTTTAATATGATGATAGCATATGATTAATACGTTACACTTCATCCCTAGACCCAACTCTAAACTCATCTCATGTATGTTCATGAATCAAAGGCAGCTCTGCTGATTTATGGGAATGGGTACGCTTTGTGTTAAGATTTGTTTATACTATAAGACCAGAATACATTTGGACTTGGACTTTTCAGTATCTCTAGAAGGATCAAGACCCTCAGATGGGCAGTTACTTGTTGTTTTTCAAGTGTAGCTAAACAAATTAATCCTAAGGGACGTATTTTAGGGAGTTTCAAGTAGCTTTCATTACCTTGCTGGGTGTCTTTTGTTGAATACAGAATGAGACAAAGGCTTGCTTGTTCAGAGTTTACAAAAGGACAACGGGGCAATGTTGCAATTGGGAGTAGATTTTGTTAGGTAGAAGGACTTCTGGAGATCAAAATAATTTTAAAAATAGCAGTGTACTGTAAGAAGCATGCAGGAAAAAGCAATGGTGCACAGCTTTTGAAAGCAGAGGGAGTAACATTTTCAAAGGCTTGTAAAGTGCTTCTGACCTTCCTTCCTTCCTTTCTCCTGCCAGCAGGCAGGTCACTGTGATAGGAGGGGGTCATTGCTTTCCTTCCCGCTGGAGTTGGTGCACCTCCTACACCACCACTTCTTCAGCCCTTCTTAATGCATCAGGTTAACAGGCTGCAGCAGAGCAACTAGAGGACCAGGTGGCATTACTGTTTGGGACATTCGGTGGCTTGATTTTCCTTCTGTACTAGAGTAAAACAGGAGTAGTAAGGCCCTTGAAGTCAGCAGACTATTGCTAACGTGAAAGAAATACACCTCCCTTATGCGCCTGTAAACTGGCGATTGCTTCCTTCCATCTCCACGTGCATAGTTTTCCGTAGGAAAAGGACTAGCAAGACAAGCCAATACAGTTACTGGTTAATACCAGAGTCCTGGAAGTCTTCCAATTTCAGTAATGTTTTTTGAAAGTATCATTAATTCCTGCTATCCTACTTAGTACGTAACCATGTAAAATGACTGAGTTTATTATTAAAGAATCTCTAATATTCTTAGAAATCCGATTCTCTGCTAAGTCATGAAGATGTATGTGCTTTAAATCTTTGGTAGATCTGGTTTGGATCAGAGATGAGAGGTTAACAGAGCTGTATCTTCAGTGAGCAGCTGAAAGTGAGGTAAAACAGTCCCTGTGTGGTTGCAGTGGTTCATGATTTACAGGACTGAATTCACAGGGCTGCTCACACTGCTGAAAATGTACGCTCTCAACTGCTGTTGATTTTTAAATTAAAAAAAAGCAGCTTTATACACAGTTTACTTTATTACTAGAGGGCAGGGAAATATAGGTAAGAGCCGTTAATCCCCAGCAGGCTGCTGGGCAGGCGAACAGACGTAGATGACAAAAGTTAATTGGAAACATGAGCAGTTTAACAGAAAACATATTTGTGACAATTGAGAGAGCAACGTCTCCAGAAAGGAAACTTTGCAAAGAGAAACTTCAGAGGAGAAGTGGCCACTGGTAGGTGAGTGCGATTTTTCAAGCTCTCTTTAGGCTCTGAACTAATTTCTTAGGAAGAACAAATAATGTTCAAAGGACAAAATAAACGACGGATTTGCTCTCATTGAGGGGGAGGGCTTACAGTTACTGCCACTAGTTTCTCTTACAGCTGGATTAAGTTATGTGCTAATATATCATTTAGGTTCATTGCATAGGGGCACAATTGGTTTTGTTTGTATATGGATTTTGCTTCTATCTTTGTACATATGAAGATCTGAACGCCCTCCACCCCCAAGTGAAGCAACTTCAGTTTTATTTTTCTTCCTTACTCCTGCATTTTTTATATGTTTGAGGTTTTTCTAAGAATTGAACTTGGACAAAATTTTGCCAAAGCAGAAGGAAGCCTTAGAAAATAGTGCTGTGTTTTCACTAATGAAAGCATATTGTGGACTTAATAAGGGAAAGACTGCAAAACACATTTTTAGTTTGAATTGGAGAAAGATTTTTTTTTCCCTTTTTTTTTTAAACAGCAAGTAAGTAAATTAAAATTACATAGTGGGAGCTTGCTGCTGTTTGTTCTGCTAGGTAGGAGAAAAATAGCTGGGTTTTATTTTGTTTAAGTAATACTGATGTTTAAAGTAGTGATATGTGTGTCTTTTTTAATGTTTTTAGTGTAAAGTTCCTGACCTTTCATTACAGAAAGAAATGTTAGACTAGCTTTAATACCAGATACTACTGTATTTTCTATTTCTTTTTTTTTCCAGAGCCTGCAGACAGTGCAGCTTCCCAGCCCACAGGAATGAATGAAAATGTATCATCTTCAGTTCAAAGCTGCAGCAGTACTGTTGGTTGCAATAACTCATCAGCCATCCCTCAGCCCAGCTCTGCTGTTAAACCTTGGCGAAGCAAATCCCTTAGTGCTAAGCACACAGCTACGTCTTCCATGTTATCTATAAAGCAGCCAGTATCAGAGCCTCCAAAGCCACCTTCAGAAATGGTCAAAACAGCTCCCAATGGTCAAAAATCCATGCTTGAAAAATTAAAACTCTTCAATAGTAAAGGAGGCTCCAAAGCAGGAGGGATGCTTGAGTGTTCGGGGTCTCGGGACAATAGTTGTGAAAAGCTAGAGACGCTTCCCAGCTTCGAGGAAAGTGAAGAAATTGATGCCACAAATCAGAATGTGAACAGTTCCGGACCAATGTCCAGCAGTCCCAAAATTGCGCTCAAGGGAATTGCACAAAGAACTTTTAGCCGGGCACTGACTAATAAGAAAAGTTCTCCAAAGGGTAATGAGAAGGATAAAGAGAAACAGAAAGAGAAGGAAAAGGATAAAAGTAAAGACATTGCAAAAAGAACATCCATCACGGAAAAGCTGGACATAAAAGAGGAGCCAAAAGAAGAACAGACAGCACTAGCAACAACAGAGATGCCAAAAAAGTCCTCAAAGATTGCAAGCTTTATCCCTAAAGGAGGAAAGCTGAATAGTGCCAAGAAGGAGGCCTCTGCCCCTTCGCACAGTGGAATACCAAAACCAGGAATGAAAAACACCACAGGGAAATCCTCAAGTGCCCCAGTTTCTGCAAAAGAAAGTGAGAGAAACCGCAGTGGGAAACCTGGCTCAGGGCTCTCTCATCAGAAGACTCAGCTAGACAGCAGGAATTCCAGTTCCTCTTCAATTTTAGCCTCTTCAGAAGGAAAAAGTATAGGTCTCAACAGTAGCAACAGCAGCCAAGCTGTCAACGGACCAGTGACTACGACACACAATACAGGAAGCAATACTGTGAGTGTTCAGCTACCTCATCCCCAACAGCAATATAACCACCCGAACACTGCCACAGTAGCTCCATTTATGTACAGGTATGGATACATCTTCAAGCACACTGTTTTGAAAGTGATATTTGTATAGGGTGAGGATTATTTGTTGAGGGTGAAGGAAGAAAGTAATATGGATGCCGCATCATTGAAAGGTTTTGTGCCTTGAGAAAGGACAATTTATACATTCACATAAGAATTCTTGTTAAAGGCAATCAGACTGAGACGTGTAAGAAGTTCTGGTAGACAGAAAGGTGAATAATTGTATCTGACACTACTAACAGCCCACATCAGAATGCTGCCTCCTTGGTGTCTACTGCCTTCTTTGCCTTTTTTCTCATACTGTGTGGTTTAGGTGTGTTTTATACATCATGGTCTTAAAAGTTATAGCAGTACCAGTTTATGACGTGCACACACTCATTCTCCTAAGCGTGGCTAACAGTGGTGAAGCTGCCTCAGGATAAGCGGTGATGGGAAATCTTTTAAAAATAAATAAATTAAAAAAACTATAGGTAAGACAGAACACAAGAGCATGTCTGTTCTTCTGTGCTTGCATCATTTACTCTGAATGAGGTAAGCAGAGGAAAATGCATATGGGGTCACACCTCACCTCCATCTAGTCCAGCATCTTCTGTTTGACAATAGCAGCGGAGGATACCTAGGGAAGAGTAGAAGAAGAGGGAAAACAGTAATGTGTTTCCTGAGGACATACTCCTGAGCTTGACCATGGCTCAATAAATTCTTGAGTCAGGTGGTGGGGTTTTTGTTTTTCACAGCCACCTGCCAATTTCCTTTGATGACCCTTAATTCTGACATAGGGAGAGACTGCAAACAGTTGTTCTCTCTTCATCATCTTCGCATTGCTCATGATTTTATAGACCATTATCATACCCCTCCTTCCCTAAAGGAGTGTACTTTATATAGGCTAAAGTGTCCTAGCCTATTTAGTTACTTCTTGTATAGCTGGTGTTCATATGCTTTGGTCATCTTTGTCACCCTTTTCTATCATTTTTCAGTTTTACTATATGCTTTTTTGCCTTTGACCTGTTAGAAGGTGTAGTGTAAGAGATGGCTGGCCACAGTCCATTTTTTAAAATAAAAATGAATGTAAATGTGATGAACCTGATGCAGGAGGATGCGGAAGGATTGCTCAGGCCTGTGTAGGAATGCGAAATGGGAAGGGTAACCTTTTGTCCTCTGAGCCTTTCAGTGCTGAGCTGCAGGCAAAGGGAGATTATTTCTCCTTGTATGTATGGAATAAAATGTTAGGTTTCCTTCTGGTATACAGTGAATGACATGAAAATGTGCCAGTCGGGAAAAATCAAATTGGCAAAAATCTGTATTAATATTACACGTTCTGGATATCTGTTGTTCTCATGTCCATTTATATCAGCGTTATTGTCACATCTTTGGCTAATGGTGGGTTCTACCAGTACTCGTTTTTAAAAGTTTGTTTTAAGGTGGAAATCACCAATGTAGTTTGTACTGTTTTAATCCATAAGTCAAATAGAAATTTCCAATTGCTTTGTTTATCCCTCACAACGTGCAAACGTGTTCATGACGTGTTGGATTGTTATATGTTTATGACTACCAGTGTCCTGTCAATAGCTAAAGTAAAAAGCACTCTATTTGATGTTGATCTCAAGTAGTTTGAATATAAATAACATCTGGAGTGTAAAAGCAGGTGCAAACCATATATTTTCTGTAATCCAAACACACTGATAAACTCTAGGTAGTATTTTTTTCGACCCTCTATGAAGAACAGTTATATAGCTACCTGTTGGCAACTGGAGGAAAAAGCTGAGAACTTGAAAAGTCTTTACTTTGGAAGAAGTGGAAGAAAAAGGCCAATTGGCATAATCTTGCTGACTTTAAAAAGAAAGAGGAAACTCAAATTATGTTAATTCACAAGGCAAATGTGTAGTAGTATTGTAAATTTACTCTTCAGGTGCTTTTTCTTATCTGCAAAATGCACTTGTAGGGGATAGCTGCATATTCTTGGGTTCTCTGAGATTCTGCTCTGTGATCAGGTCTTTGCTGTCTCAGCTCCCTTCTCCCCCTGTTATTCGCAGGTATGGTAAATTTCCCAGTGTGGATCTAGGGCTCAAGCACTATTTGCAGGGAAGGGAAGTGACTGCAGAGTGCCAAAGTTAATGGGTTGCAGCAGCAATCTCAGGTTTTCTCTGATATGAATTAAGGTTACTTTAGACTAAACATCTCTGCTGCCTGTAGACTTACTTTTCGTGGAGGGGGTTATGTAAAAAAAGAGAGAAATTTTTCTATTTCATATAGTGTCACCTGAAAGCAAGATTAGTCAAGTGCTTGTCTGCTGTATCCTCTCTTTTATGGAGAGCTCCTGCTTTTGACAGGAAAACATCCGGCTGTTTGTTGATGTGACTCTAAGAGCAAAACATGCAGCAACTTGTAAGATGAAATGAGTCCAGATATCTTAGATCCGAGAAAAGATTCTTATGGACCTTTACTTCATGACAGCCACAATGTCAGACCACAAATTGGAGTTTGAAGTTAATTTTATCCATTCATTTGTTTTAAGATAAAAATGAGTGACAGTGCTAGTTAAGGAAGGAAAATCTGGAGAAGCGTAGCACAGCATCATACATTACCTGCTTTGTGTTTGTGTAATACAGGCTTTATTAGAGAGAATCAGACATGTCACGTTACTGAGAATGAAAATTTAGCTGAAAATCCAAGCTTCTTAGGGGTCTTCTGAAGAGCTGTGAAGCCTACATTTGGCTATGAATTTTTTATTTTTTACAGCTGAGTGCTTGTTTCCATTTCTAGGACATAGTCCAACATGGGACTAATGAATTATGTAAAGTCAGTCTGCCGGTCTGGTCTGTTCTGGAGAAAAAGACAGAGTGGCTGATGGCTGGCACAGTTGTCTAGTTGCTCTAGTTGAGATACTTTTGATGGTGAGTGACTGTGCATCTCTGTTTTGTTTTGCCTTTTAGATCACAGACAGACAACGAAGGGAATGTAACAGCTGAGGCCAGCACGGGAGGGGTCAGCATGGATTCTGCGCTTTACGTCAAAACTGGACAGCCTGGCCTTGAAGACCTCTCAGGTATGTCTGGCAGCATAACTTCCTAAATGGAATCTGGTTAAATAAGAATAGGCTAAAAGTCTGAAACAGGTTGCAAATCAGGAGCTCCATCTTTGTGGGGAATCTAATTTGTATTTATTTGGAGTGCTTTGCTTTCTGTTAGTTAAGATATTTCTTTTGGCTGTTCAGCAATGGAAACTGGCTATTAATATTTTGAATACTGGAGGCTCAAGTTCTACAAAACCCTATGCCCCTCAAATTTCTGAAAATCATTAGAAGTTGTGGGTGTGTAGTGTCTTCTGGGAGATGTACAACAACTTTTAAGATTAAGATATTATGAAGGTCCTAATTAGCCGCAAACACATGATATTAATTTTTTACTTTTAAACTTTGCTTAAGACTTCGTAGGTTATAGAAGAGATTAAATTAATATCCTTGATGTTTTGATTAGTTTGCATGTTTGGAGGAATCTCCGCGTTCGCTCTCATTAATCTGATCAATTTGAGAAGCAGTTTTGCAGCAATAAGAGACCAAAATCCAACTTCAGTTTGCTGTGTCCAGCATACACAAGCCTAAATTGATTGGGATTAGGATATATGTAGTCTAAATTACGAAGTACTTTGCGTGTTTATCTAGACTTCCTGCTACTATAAGAAATGTTTGATAATTAACAATAAGTTTTAAGCTTACCCATGATAACAAAGCAATTTTTAGCAAGAGTATTCTAGTAAAGGTATAAAAAGTGTTTTTAAGTCACAATCAAGTATCTCTTCCGCCTTCCCTTCTGATTTTAGCAATGTCTGTGTTTATGCTTATTGGACAGTATTATATTATATTACAGTATATGCCATCAATAGATTGCCTCAATTTTTTTCCATCTAGTTAGTCCTGGCATCCTCCAGTTTAATGTGAGTTTTGAAACTGATTATCCTGCTTGGAAAGTCACACGGCTAGAGGTTTCACAATTGGATTAATTTCATATTTCATTACATATTCTGTCAGTGCCACATTTACACCTGTATATGCATATGCTGATGGCAAAGGCAAGCAGCAGAGTCGTTGGTGAGGAAAAGGGCTACAGGAATGCATAAATGTGTATACCTGCACATATGATTTACATACAACTGGATTAAATATTAAAAATGGGAATAAAATGCACAAGGAATAAAATCCTTGAATACAATTTTGGGTTCATACTCAAATATGAGAGCCAGTTCAACGTAAGAGACACAGAGCGTCCAGCTTCTTATGCTTTTTCAGTATGACCTCTTAATCATTTGATTGCTTAGCCTAGATGTACTTCAGGCTGTGAACTGGGAAGTGTTTATAGATCACACAAAGTCTTTAGTCTTTAATGACAGATGTTGTGTAAATACAAACTGTTATTTAAGTGGAATATGTAAGTTTGGGATCCAAAAATGCAAGAGAGCATGACAACCTCAGACAATGAAGAGGCAAGAACCAGCTGTGCATAGCCAAACTCCACAGTCGGCAGTAGTCAATAAAGGAGTCTTAGGGGAAGATGAACAAACAAAACAAAACAATTCCTCAACCCAAATAAATAAGAAGAAATAAGTAACAGATTTCTTCTTTCCATATATGGACATAGCAGCTATTGATGCTTTTAATTTAAAAGCACATGTGAAAAAAGAGGGAGAGTCTAGACAGGGAAAATTGGAAGCTGGGTAGTATAATGATACTGCATATTGATGACAAGCTAAATGATTTAATAATTAATTTTTAGTAACACTATTCAATATCTGTCTTTTAAAAACCTTTGTAATTCATATCTGAATGTCATTTAAGTAAAAAATTTGTATCAATATGGGTTTGAGAGTGATCTCACTAGAAATAACTTCAGTTTTACCTCAGCTAAGTCTCTTGTATGTTCTTTTAAGAACTTATCTAGTACTTGCCTTCTTATCTTTGAGAGAAATGATCTGTGAAAGAGCACTCTGACCTTTGTTTGGCTAACGGCATATAAATATTTTATGATCTTTGCTGCAATAATTTGTAGATCCATGAGTGTAGAAAAATGTTTTCTGTCCCAGAGACCCAGTGGCTAAAGCAATCAAGCTTGTTAGGCTGCTCTTTCCGATACAACCAGATCATAATTATTTGATCATTTAGCCTAAGTGAAATGTGTCGTCGTTAGTTTATATCCCAGGGAGTAGAGGCCTGTATGAAAAAAATGTTGTCATGGATACTAACTGAACCATTGATGTTTGTCTCAGTAAGGCCAATGATTGTATAAGCATACAAATCTATCTTCCATTCCCCAGATAGTTCTTTGTGGTCAGGGCTCCATCGCTTTGGTGAGCACCAGTAGAGTAGGAAGTCTATGCTAATGCTGCTTTGCAAGTAGGAGTATGTGACTTGGTTTTTCTGTGCCGTTAATCTAGCGTCTTTCAGAAACATGAAGACTAAAGCAAAGAATGTAGGAAGTCCAACAACAATGGAAAATTAAAGATTAATTTATCTATTCCTTAACACTTATGATTTATGTAATCTGTAGACGGATCTAAACTCCCAGTTGTATGGATCACCAGTATCCTTGCAGCTTAAGAATGCATCACTTGTGCAGAGAAGGCTGTTACAAAGTTTGAAAAGTTTTAGATTTGGTGTAGTAAGTATTTTCTTCAGTCATAAGTTGCAAAGCCTTTAGGATGAAACCATTCCCTCCTGTGTCTGACAGAGGGTTTAGGGTGGCTTTTTGGAGGTTGTCCATTTCAGCATTCAGCTTACAAAGAATATCTTGGCACCACTAGATATGAGAAGTCATTTCTTTTCAACTGCTGAGAAGGTTTGACTATAGGTAAAGTTCAGCTGAGTTATCAACTAAAGCATTTCGTAATTGATTGCTGAGAGCAAGTAAACAAAATAAATTTTGCTGAGGCACTAAGAGGACTTTTTTAAGGTATAGAAAAAACTCTTCTTCTGGAGGTAAAGAACAGGAGGAAGATTTGTTTTAGAACGGACTATTTAAAGAACAAGGTCTCTTTCTGAACCTGAGAAAAAACTTCTTCACTGTGAGGGTGACAGAGCATTGGAACAGGTTGCCCAGAGAGGTGGTGGAGTCTCCTTCGCTGGAGATATTCAAAAGCCGTCTGGATGTGATCCTGGGCAATATGCTCTAGGTGACCTTGCTTGGGCAGGGAGGTTGGACGAGATGATCTCCAGAGGTCCCTTCCAACCTAAACGATTCTGTGATTCTGTAATTCTGTAATGCCAAGGAAAGTAAAAGAAGCCCCTTAACTTTCTGTAATAGCCCACTCAAGTAATGATACCTGTGTTGTGATGTGGACAAGCAAAAACTTTTGCTATTTTACCTAAAATATCACTCAGCATGGAGTACCCAGTCAACAGAATTTACTTTATTAGAAAGCTATTGTTGTAGAATGAGGTCTATTTAAAATGGGAAAAGGAGGTTTGGTTAGAACATAGTATTGGAGAGACTGACCGTGCCACGTCAATGTTTATTGTGTCAATAGGAGATGGAAACGATGGTATTGACAGAGTATATGTTCTAATGAGATTGAAAGTTAACTACGATTTAAACTGGGTTATGTGGGGAAATGACAATACAGAAACATCTCCTGCTACAAAGGAAACCTGTTAAATAAAGTTAACAATACGGAGCTGTTCCCCAGTCTGACTGGGGCAATGACAGGTGCCTGTTCTAGGGGAATGGTATCTGCATCATTATCCATTAGAGTGTCAAATAATGGAAAGTCAGAAAACTGTGTTTGAAACAGATCCAGGCAGAGATAACAGCTCAATTCTGTGCTATTTCCTGCTTATTCTTTCTAATGATTTATTTTTCCTCTAGGAGAGGATCCAGAAACTCGGCGATTACGAACTGTGAAGAACATTGCCGATCTTCGACAGAACTTGGAGGAAACCATGTCCAGTTTACGGGGAACCCAGGTCACTCACAGGTAATAGCATGACTGACTTTATGAAACCATTGAAATAACTGTTCTTACTTCACATCTCTTCGATCTGACTGGGTTGCATCCTTGAAAAATGATTAACACTCACAGTGGAAGAAACTGATCTTCTGTTTTCTCTTTAAAGCACAGATTTTGAACTGTGTTTGGTGTGTATCAAGATTTATGATGAGTAACTGAAGGTGGCAGATTGTATATAGAAATAAAGTTGGAGAGTAAGCAGTGCTTGTTAAATGCATTAGGTGATGTTTGAATATAGGTTACCGTTTAAAATGTTACTTCATTTTATTCTTGAACAACTTCAGTGCATTATGCCTGTCTCCCCCAATGTGTAATTTTTTGTTTAAACAAGCAGGTGAACTGTGCTTGACCCACTTGATAAAGTGCATAACTTGAATTCCTGACCAGTCTTTGGACAAACAAATTTTTCTAATACTATTGGTTACCCATGTATGTAATTTTTTTAGTAAAGCACTATCTGGAAATCTCTAGCAATATTTAAAAAATGCTCTAAATAAACACAGGCTGTCACTACATTTAAACATTTGGTGACTCAGATCTTTTCAATGTTCAACAGGAAGCTTGGGAGAATATGATGTGTGGCCCCTAATGAGGTTGTGGTCCTACATCAATTCCTAGTGGACTCTGGTCCTAAATGAGTTCATTGGATAAACTTTTTGTGCCTTCGCTTTGTATCCAGAACTGAGCAAGAGCTTGCAAAGATGAACACACAGTGGATCTATTTTTCTTTGAAATTTCAATTAATGTGACAACTCATTATGATTTAATTACTACAATCACAGGATACCTTTTTTTTTTTTTACAGTGTATACTTACATTATACTGCAAATAGTGCAGTGCTGCTTATATTAATGATTATTCACTGTAAACAAAGGTAAGAGTATGTTAGTTAACTAAGAAAGGAAGAGAGTCCAGTCACTCAGACATGGATAGTGGAAGATTTAATATGCTTGATGCTTGTCCGAAGCTGTATTTAGAGGCTATGACCTGAAATGCTTTTGTAACCAGAGCTCTATATAAATATTACCAAATATTTTGAAATATACTTTTATTTCATGGATATGTAAAATATATTGTGAGAAACAGTTTTACCTTTCTTACTCTTGATTTTATCCTTTCCTTAGTGTAGATATAGCTACCATCTTGATGCTGCACGCATCTCCAGATTATTAGGACTGTTTCATGAATGCAGCCAAAAAAAGAAGAAAAGGTGTCAGAAAAATAGCACTTGGGTTGATGTCCTTTTAGTGAGCTTAATATGCTACTCACTTGCCTAGAAGGGCAAGAACATTTTACAATAGGATTATATGTGATTGAAGGCAAAAAAATTACACTTTTTTACTGTGGATAATCCATTAAAAAGTCTCTGCTTGAATCTGCTCTCGTATATGTTAAACACTTGATGGCCTGGGTGCAAGAGTATCATTATTTAAGAACAGTGTTGGAAGAATGAATCTAACTGTCAGAGCTTTGTAGCAGGTAAATTCTGTCAGTGTTGTTACTTACATTTTGTAACCTGAGTGTTCAGAACGTAAGGGTATTAGAACTCATGAAGTGACATCACCTGAAATCTGATGGTGTTCTGTATGATATCAGTATACATTTAGTAAAGAGCATTTATTTATTTTAGCACACTGGAAACTACATTTGACACCAATGTCACTACCGAAATAAGCGGTCGCAGCATTCTCAGCTTGACGGGAAGGCCAACACCTTTATCGTGGAGACTGGGACAGTCCAGCCCCCGCCTTCAAGCAGGTGATGCTCCATCAATGGGAAACGGGTATCCCCCAAGAGGGAATGCCAGCCGCTTCATTAATGCTGAGTCAGGACGTTATATGTATTCAGCACCTTTGCGGAGACAACTAGCATCCCGCAGTAGTAATGTCTGCCACGTGGACATCTCTGACAAGGGAAGTGATGAAATAGATATGGAAGGCATCACCCTGGATGCCACCGGCTACATGAGTGATGGAGATGTGCTGGGCAAGAATATCAGAACTGATGATATCACGAGCGGGTAAGCACCTTTAGTTTTGTTCTTAAGTACCACACTTCCTGGAATTCTATAATTTTTGCATTGCTTTAAATGAGGCAGCATTCATCTTGACTGTTAAAAAAACATAAAGTTATTAAATCCATTTTAATAAGAACTTGGAGGGACAGCTCATGGTTAACTTACTCAATGGAATTTAAGCCTGTGGTTTAAGCTTACGGATAGGTTAAAAAAATGTTCCTAGATAGGAACACTACTCATGCATATGATTAAAAGTTTTCTTGATTCAGGGTCATGGTGGAAAGTCAAGCACGTACTGCAGCATTCATTTATTCCCACAAGATGGAGAGAGTGAGGCATTTTCTGTACTGTTACTGAACCCTCTTACTATCTGAACTTTTAGGAGAAAGTTCACTGAAAGGAAATGAGTTTGCACTGCAGTGTATAGGGTGAAATAGTTGCACATGCAAAATATAGTCTAAAGAACAAGTTAATGTGCAAAAATACGAACTGATAGGCAATTATTAAGAAGGTTTTACATCAACATTTTGCTTTTGCCTTGACTGGAAAAAGCATTTGTTCTTTGCTCCAGTATGTCAGTGCTCAGTTCCTTCCAGAAAGCATAGTCATTTTTCTTTGCTCAAATATATCAGTCTTAGACTGATATTAAAAATGATTACTGAGCTGAAAATGACATATTTATCTCTTTACTTATTTATTTTTATAACAGCCTTTTAGCCTATTTGACTACCTTACATCCTTTACTTTTCCACAATGTTTATAGTAGTGTTTGTTGTACCATTGGCTTAGCTGGGATATTTAGTGTCTGTTCTTGAAGCAGAAAGCTGGAATCCAGCTGCTGCTTTGCCAGTAATTTAACCGGGAAGCAATCTGGAAACCACTGTTCATGCTGTCCTTTCTCAGTAGATGGATGTTTTCACTCTCTCTTGAAAAGTTGGACTTTATTTAGATTTCCTTCTTTGGGGAGCATATAGTAAAGAAACCAATGCAAAAAAAAAAAGTAAAATTCTACTTCACATGAAAGCACCTTTAGCTTTTACTACATTAGTAATGCATCATATCACTAAAATTGCCTGTGCTTTTGCAAAATAAATCAGCTTATATCTGAGTCTTGTCATGTTTGTTGTAGTAACAGTTATTGCTTTTCCTCAGGACTATGGCCTTCACTCAAACTTGCATGTGTAATATTGGTCTAGAAGTGAGGAAAAATAAATTCTGAGTAGTGTCATGGTTTCCGTAGAGTGCCTGTAGTAAAAACTAAGCAGTGTCCCTGGCAGAACTGTCATTTCCAGCTTCTGTTGTTCGTACCCTAGAGGAGCCCCAGGCCTTGCAGATTCAGTGAAGACTGAACTTTAGTCAGTGGATAACATTCAGCTTCCACATTGAGAAAAAGGAAATAATAATAAAGCTGTTAAGTTCATGAATGATGTTTCCAGAGAAATCTGTGGCTTCATCTCCATGTATCATTTCCTATTCTGTGACTGTCATCCTGTAGAGTATAAAACGGAAGTCTCCAGAGTCCAAAAATACAAGTCTGGTCTTTAGATTCTAGATCTAAGGGACTCATAAAGTAACACATGTTTTTGCTGGTTGATACCTCTGTCACTAAAAGTGTATCAAAGCAGTGAGTTAAAAACCAACAGTTGGTGAATATAACATTTAGCAGAACAGTCATATGCTCCACTACAGCTCACCCCTAATCTTGATCATTACAACATTTTTAACGAGAGGTAGAGTATGAGACAGAGTACTTGGCTCTTATTTCCCATTAGTCTTTAAACAGGAGAGATAATTTTCAGTTTTTACTCATGTAGTCAGCCATAGATTGGTAAAAGTGGTATCAATGGATTGGTAAGAGAGGTATCAGTTTAAAATTGTTATGACAAGAACAGTTGTTGTGTGTATAAATGTTGTTCTCTTCCGTGTCTGTTGCCTTTATTTAGCAAAATAGGCTTTTGTAGCTAACGTGGGTTGTTTTATTGATTTATATATCATTATTTTAACCATTGGCCAGGTTTCAAGGGCAGAATCTGTATTACAGGTCAATCCATAGTCAGAAAGACCCAGTTTAATTCTCAGATTATTAACGGAGTTCGAATTTTGGTAGTTTGGAGGGCTTATCCTTCTGTATTTGTGTACATTTGAAGGGAACTTTCCTAAAAGCAGCCTCACAATGCTGGGTCTAAATAGTCTATGGAGACTAACCGTAAGTGCAGATTCCATTGGAAGGGAGTCCTTAGTACTGAGCTGAAATAACAACACTGGCTATAATCCCACTATGAATTGAGAGATTTAAACCTTCTGTCTAAGAAATGAGGGTGTTACCTTTGGTGAATCTCACAGACACCTAATAATGCTGAATTGTCATCTTCAGTATAGCCAGATGTTTTGGTTTGGTAGCCTCCATATCCTGAGTTATCTTCCCCAATGTCAGTTCATGCTCAGTAGTAGAAAGTAGAATAGCATTGCCTCCCTGTGGGAGAGGGATAATATACTACTTGGAAATTAGAGAGGTTGCTTGTAAAGAAAGTGTCAGCGTTAACTTGCTGCAGAATGAATCTCTAAGATCAGCTTTAGGATGAACAGGCCCAATATTTTCATAAGCTGAATGCGGAAAACAGCACAAGAGGGCATTTATAACATGAATAGTTCCTTATTAGCTGGTGTATGTTTCACTTTTTCATTTTCAAAATGGCTACAATGCTGTAGTCTGCAAACTGTGGATCTGTGTTTTTATTGGCAAACTGATAGGGAAGGAAGCCAAAATGTTTGTTACAGCTAAAATAAATCCAATAGCCAAGATAAGCTATTTTAGCCCTATGTTTCTGATGCTTTCTCTGAAATGTACTGGGTCATGGGAAGTATCATTTGGCCTCCCTTTCTAAGTCTGCTCAAGCATAGCTCCGGCAGAAATTAGGATTGATTTCATAGGGTTAGAAAGAATATCTTTTCCAAACAAGCAGAAAATATCTGTTAAACTAAGAAAGTCTTCAGGTGTGGATCAAAGGGAAGAACTGCTCTTAATACGGAAGCTCAAATGTCGACAGAATGACAAAGCAACAGCACTAGGATTTGTCCAAGGAGGGAAGTATGCAAGGAAGATCCCAGGATGTTGTGTTCTGCCATTTACCTCGTCCCACAGCTGGGTGACCTTGGGGCTTTATAGGCCTTGTCAGAAAGTGACAACTCAAAATCTAGAATCATTTCACCTGTCCACTTCAAAGAGTTAAGCAGTCATTCCAGATGAGGAGGTTAGCTCATTACTTTTTTGGATTTGTTCAGAAGGTTTTGTCTACTTAAGTCTCCCTTTAGCTTCTAACTTTCATGTTCTTTCCGTACTCTTCTTTTGCCCCTTCTTTTCTCTCTAATGAGATGTAGAGTTAATTTCCCTTTTGTCTTTCCTTGGAATGGAAAAACAGAGCTGTTGGTCAAAAAGGCCCTTTAAAATTCTTTTCCTTTGATTTGATTAACCCTCTGACCCTGTTTTCGTTACCCTTGTGCAACTTTCTATGCAGAGTTAACAGAGTGGGTATGTTATTAGTGTTGGTCACAGATTTTCTCAGGAAATGGTTTTTGGTCTGCAAACACCATTAGTCAAAACAATTTCTTGCAGAAATGTATCTGTTCCAGCCACCTTCCAACAAACTGTAATAAAACTCTTCCAGCACTGACCTCCTACAGGTGAAGCTGCTGTTATGGGTGAGAGAACATTTTGGCCCACGCTTTGTACCATTTGGTTAGTCTCCCAATTTGCTTGATGCTGTAGGGCTGATACATTCCCATTCCATATCCCTATTGCCACAACCTCTTAATGCGTGTGTGTGCATAATCATCATGGGATTCTGATTTCTTCTTGTTTATTCAAGCCTTTATGCTCCATGGGGATTTTTTCTCAAGCGCTGTGAATTCTGAACTTAGATGAAGGGAAATTAGAGGGAAGAGCAGGCCACTCTGGGATGGGAAATCAGGCTTTATGACCTGCTGCTGCTCTGGTCAAACCACCACATAAGGGAATTGTGCTCTAGTGAGAAATCACCTTTGGGATTCAGAGGTCTGTGTACCCTGCAGCTACGTCGCGCAAAACCATTGTTGAAGCGGAGTTCTGTTGTAGGCTGAATTTTAATGGTTATGCGTATTAGAAAGCAAATAAGAGTACAATATGAAGAGCTGAAGTTGAGGATTGATTTCACTGAATGTTGAATAATATAATCAATATTTATAGGATTCCTGTGCTTCAGTTGCTTGAGTTTGCACTATTTATCGGTCAGACAGCGATACATCTTTTACAGAAGTCATGCTCATGTGTGGCATATCAGGCCTTCATTTGGGTTAAGGTTTTATAGAAAGAAAAGGACTATGCATCTTGCTGCTAATGAAAAATTGTTCTTGATAACAGTAGTTAAGAGTCGCTGTTTCCCTCTAAGCGCTCTGCAACAGAAATGGTTGCTGCTCCAGGTAATGTGTGGCTAACTAGAAGTCAAGAGTGATAATCATGGTATGAATAAGAACCTTTTCAGCCTGTACATTGACTGAATGTTAGCTATAGTCTTTACTGAATTATTTTTTGTCATGGTGACTACCTCAATATTTTTTCAGTATGCTTTGAGTTACAGTGCGTTAGTCATTTTATTGGGCATTGCATTTTAAGTGGTGTGCCTTTGGTGAGTGATAAGATTTCATCCAAGTACAAATAATGGGTGAAGCTGCATATGCATTCCTTATATGGCTATAACCATATAAGTTATATATATAACCACATCAACATGACTAAGAATCATTAGGGGCTGTTTATTTTAACTTTTTCTCCCTGTGAGCTGTAGTGTTTATTTGAACTGTGCTATGTCTGGGCTGGAACTGGCTTCTTGCATTTTGATCCTTTTGCCATTGTAGAGTGGTAGCTCTAAGCGGTAAATAGACAGTTAGCACAAATAATAATAAAGAAGGTAGCCAAGCAAACTCAAAATGTTGACCTTCATGAGATGGTATTAGGATACCTTGATTTC